ACAGAACATAATAGAGCCAATCAAAGTAATCAACATCTTCATCACACTTGCTTGACATTATGATACTAACCATTGATCAAATTATCCAAATTCCTACTGATTAAACAGAAAGTGAAATCACCAAATAATTCTAGATCATCCAATAGCAAACATCAAAAACTCGACATCAAAACCTCAATGCTACAAACATTATGTAACGGTGACCCATCGGGCAATGGATTGGTAGTGGGTGAACCAGAAGGGATGCCATCGGGCAATGGGATTGCCAACGCGTATACCTGTTTCTTGGATGTACATTTTATGTGTCATTATAATAACATTAGACATACAGAGTATAATTTTTTATTAATCTATCCACTTTTTGACATTATTCTTTTGTTGTCATTTTTATTTAAGCGTTACACTTTCTTATTTTGGTAAACTACTTTATTTAAATATTATTTCTCTCTCCTCTCATTGTCCTTGGTTTTACTTAATGCTAAACCTTCATTATTTCTTTCTTTCTCATATCTCTTTCTTTTCAATAAAATATACTCCGCAAATTTTATTAAATATAATTTTTTTTAACACTTCAACTATCCCACTTATTTATTTTATATCAAAGTCAATTAATAAGTTGTCTAAGTCTATGTGCCGGTCAAAGTGTAACTAACACTTAAAAATGCCTGAGGGAATATCTAACTTATTGCGCATATAATATTTTTTAGATGGATTAATAATGTTATTTTTTACAGAATAAACAATATTTATTAAGTAAATTCAATTCAATAATAAATAATAGTCAATGACATTTCTTTAACTCAATATTTTTTGTTAAATTTAACCTATAATGAAAATGTTTATATACACTTTGGTGCAAACTGCACCTAATATTCAATTATATATTGCTTAAAATCTTGTCTCGATCAATCACATATTGTCAACTAAAGAGGGACGAAGAGAGTATCATACGGATAACATTAACAATGTCTTTGTTATAGTGTAAGTAAAAAACCGGAGTATATGTTATGTATATACAAATTAAATATTTTAAGTTAGTGTTGAACTAACTAAAGGAATTAATTCAAAATGGATGAAGTATTAATTACTCAAAATGAAGGAAGTAATAAAAAAAACACATAGTACATCTATAGTTTTTGTTTTTTAATGAATTGAATTAATTTCTATAAAAAAATTATTAGCAAAATGGAAAAGTATTAAGTATATATACTATTAGGGGTGAACATGGTCCGGTTTGGTGCTGTTTGAGTACCAAACTAAACCGCAAAATACGGTTTGGTCAAATTTTCAAACCAAACCAAACCGTATTAGTATCCAAACCAGACTAAACCAAACCGTAATAATACGGTTTGGTGCGGTTTGGTTTGCGGTTTATAATGAGACGATATTTTTCCCTAAAAATTGTCAAAATATACTTCATTAACTTATAATAATGTTTAAATAATTAACCCAACCATATACCCTGTTGAATTTTGATTTTAATGTTTTTATTATTATTTTTTTATTTTTTTAATATATAATAATTATTTTAATTTATTTAAAAATTATATAAATATTAAAATACGGCTTACTGGTTTACGGTTTGGTTTGGTTTATAATTTTTGAAAAACCAGACCAAACCGTAAACCGTATTTACAAAAAATCCTAAACCAAACTGTATTTTTATAAACCGTAAACCAAACCAAACGGCTAAAATACGGTTATGTCTGGTTTGGTTACGGTTACCCTTTAATACTATGTTAAATCATGTGCAATGTACGGTTGTTAATAAGTCGACTAAAACATGCAATGTTAAAACAATTAAAAAAAACATGCAAGAGAAATTAATTAAAAAGTTATAAATTATAATGTGCAATTTGATATTTTAGGAAGTTTGCTTTAAATTTTATATTTCGTATAAAGTGAGAGTCATAATAGATATATACAAACTTTCTTTTTCTGTAACAATGGATTTTTGTAAGCAATAACTTTGGAGGGAAAATTGTTAATGATACATTGCCAAATCTCCTCCTTAGATTCGCTTTTTGTAGCATGTAACAGATTGACAGGTGTCTTAAAAAAAAATTATATTAATAAGTTAATAATAAATTGAGATTTAGTAATAACCATGCATGACACGTGCCTTAGACTAGTAAGCCCTTAACAAATCAAAAGTTAGTTGATTGCTCCAAATATCTTGGTTTTGTCAACCTTAATGTGCTCTTATTCAAAATAGAGTCAAATATATATTGAGGTTCCTTATTCTTAATATAAATTACGGCGGCGACTCTTTTAAAAACTTTCTAAACTTGAAAAATGTCCCAAACTTTTACCGAAGACATAACAATAAGGGGAAAATCCCTCGCAAGTAACACACTTTCACAAGCCTAAATAATTACTTTCCATATAAACAAAAGGATCACTTTATGGATTGAAACAACTTGGTTGGATATGGTATATTTGTTTCAGTGAATACCCTATGAGAAAAGGGTTAAAAAACAATCAAATTACTTCTATTTCTTGAATCAAACTATCACAATTAGGGTTCGCTATTATTGCAGTTTATGTTGACGAGAATGTCATCGAAACTCCAAAAGACCTTGAAAGAACTGCAAAATACCCAAAAAAGAATCTGAAATAATGATGGATCTTGGAAAAACTAAATTTTGTCTTGGATTGAAGATCGAGCACTTGAGTAATAATATTTTTGTCCATCAATCAGACTATACGTAAAGATTTCTGAAGTGTTTTTTCATGGACAAAACACATCCAATTAACTCATTGATGCTTGTTCGATATTTGAACATGAAAAAACGATCCATTTAGACTTCAAGAGGAAAGTGAATAGGTTCTTGGTCCAAATGTACCTATATAAGTGTGATTGGTGCCTTAATATATTTAGCTAATACACATACTTAAGCCAACATAACCTTCTATGTGAACTTGTTAGTCATATATAGAAACCCGCGAGGCGAGCATATGCATTGGCAGGAAATTTGACATTTATTTTGGTACCTACGAGGAGCACAAGATGTCATTTTCATCAGATATGTAGATGTTGGACAATCATCAGACATACAAAATGCCAAATCACAAACTAGATACTTTCTCAATTATGGTGACACTGTAATATCATGGAAATCAACAAAGTAGACATTGATCGCAGCATCATTAGAACATTCAGAGTTAATCGCCCTTTAAGAATCCGTATGAAAATGTGTATGGCTTAGGTCAATAATCAGCAATATCCACGAATAATGTGGGATGAGCTAATTAAACATCACCTACAAAGACAATATTGCATGCATCTCCTAAGTAACTGAAGGATATATTAAGAATATAGAACTAAACATCAATCTCCAAAACTATTCTTCACACATGATCTACAAAAAGAAGAAAAGATAAATGTCCAACAAATTCAATCACGTAAGAATCTCGCAGGCCAAATTTGTTTACCAAATCCCTTCCTTGGAAGAAATTTAAACAATTAGGGTGCGTTTGGTTCGCTGGTTTCAGGAAAGGGAATGGGAATCATTCCCTTTCAACCTGTTTGTTTGCCACTTTTTCCCTCAATCATTCCCCCATTTCATTTTTCAAAATACCCCAAAACCCCTCTTCCCCATTCCCCACCCCCCACTTTCCCATTCCATTCCCCACCCACCCTAACCCTAACCCTAACCCTAACACTAACACCCATATACGTCGGTGGTGGTCGGACGGCGACTGTCGGCGAGCACCGGGGAGTGGTCGGGGAGACTCGGCGAGCACCGGGGAGTGGTCGGCGATGTGGTGCTGTGGTGGAGGAGGGAGATCGAGCGTCGGGGAGCGGGGCTGGAGCATCGGAGAGGGAGTTCGAGGTGGTGCTGTGGTCGGTGGTGGTCAGCGACCGTCGGCGAGGGGGACTGGAGGGTCGGCGAGGGGTCAGCGACCGTCGGCGAGGGGGGCGCGACTGTCGGCGAGGGAGTTCGAGCATCGGGGAGGGGGCTGGAGCATCGGGGAGGGAGTTTGACGGTCGGCGATGGGGGCTGGATGGTCGGCGATGCTCGAGGATGGGTCGGCGACGGTTGGCGGAGGTCTGTGAGGGTTCGGCGGCGGTCGGAGCTGCGTTGTGGTGGTGGTGCTGTGGTGGAGGAAATGATTCCCTGGTTTTTGTAACAAACAACCTTCCAAATTTTCCACTTTGCCATTCCATTCCATTTCATTCCCTTTGTTCATTCCATTCCGATTCCCTTCTGTCAACCAAAGGCCCCTTAATTCACAAAATTGAGATGCTTCATCTTCATGAATTATATTCAAATTTAGGGGGAGTGTTATATACACTGCACTCTTTTTTTTCTTCGATCAATGCTTGAAAATAATTTTCGATGCCTATGAACCTATAAGAGAACAAGTATATGACTTATAAACTGCATCATGCTTCTCTTGTAAATACGCTTGTAATATGCAATTTATTTATGCAATAGTTTTACGATATCAAATATAGTAATACTTTTTCCTCTTTTTTTGAATAAATACACAAAAGTTGATGGCTTACAAGTTATTGGTAGTGTTCTTATCTCTTTTATTTATTTATTCATTTTTCATATTTCTATTACTAGGAAAAAATAAAAATGATGATATGGTATGAGCTACAGCTAAGTCTTGTTATCAGCTATTACATAACTATTACCAATTGTATCTAAAAATAATATTGGATGAAGCAAGTTAAATCGATCACCTAGTGGGTATGCAGTTCAAATACATAGGACTTGAAATTAAAACCAATTCAAATTAGATCCTTGTTTTTAAAACTATACCCAAACCCACTAAAACTGGTTTTGAATCTGAACCCACCAGATACAAACAAGTTTCGGTTCTGATTCTGCACCCGAACCGGGTACCCATAATTCTTGCTCACACAAATCACAACCTCTCAGTCCACTCGATTTAGAACCAGCAGAAATGTGATATGGACCTCATAATTCTAAAAACCCAACAAAAACAGCCCAATAACAACTAGGGTTTTTGTTGAGAAACCACACGTATATAATCTTAGGTCACAAACCCTTCTCCTCTTCTCACTTCCGTTTTCTCTCTCCTCCATTTCTGCGTTTAAAGCCTCCACTCGTATCTTCACCACTTACCTTCTGCTCGCCGCCGGTGAGCCGCCATGGTCCACGTCGTCTACTACCGCAACTGTAATTTCACCTCTCTTCTTCCTTTTTCCTTTTTTTTTTCGATTCTTCTTTTTGTTGTTTTTTATTCCAGTTTATCTGATTTTTTCGACCAATTTGCTTTGCATTCTCTCTGTTTTTCTCGGATTAGTTAATTTAAACATTTGAAATAACCTGGTTTTATTTTTTTATTTTTTTTTATTTTACTTGATTAGTTTTTTCCATTTTATTTGATTAATTTCGATCTATTTGTTGTGCATTATCTCTGTTTTTCCTGGATTAATTAATTTAAACAGTTGAAATCAGCTGGGAAATTTTTAATTGATTGATTGATAAACTGAATTTTTAGGGTTTGTGATTTTGTGTTTCGAATCGCTTTTTGTTGTAAAGTTTGTACATTTTACTTGATTTGGAATTTAAGGTTTATCATGGTAGGGTAATGATCTGTATTTGTATATGAAAGGTTGCAAATCGGTAGCTTTCTGTTGGGTTTGTTCTTCTAATTAGGTTAGAAACAGTAGTGGGTTTTGTTAAATTATCAAAATTCATGCTAAATTTGAGATTTTATGGAGAAATTTAGTTTATATGGTGGAATTATTAGTGATGATTTTGTAAAATGGATGGTGTATAGATGGGAAGACATTTAAGAAGCCACGTCGTCCTTATGAGAAGGAGCGATTGGATGCTGAGTTGAAGCTTGTAGGAGAGTATGGGCTTCGTAACAAGAGAGAGCTCTGGAGGGTTCAATATGTTTTGAGCCGTATCCGTAATGCCGCAAGGCATCTTCTTACTCTGGATGAGAAGAACCCTCGCCGTATCTTTGAGGGAGAAGCTCTTTTGAGGAGGATGAACAGGTACGGGCTGTTGGATGAAGGACAGAACAAGCTCGATTACGTGTTGGCTCTTACCGTCGAGAACTTCTTGGAGAGGCGTCTTCAGACCCTTGTCTTCAAGTCTGGTATGGCTAAGTCTATTCACCATGCTAGGGTGCTCATCAGGCAGAGGCATATTAGGTATCTTATTTTAATCCCTTGTTTACGTTTCAAATGCAATTAGTGTTTGCTTTCTGATGTGCATTGCTTGATGTTTTCAATTGCTCAGTATTGATGATTTTCAGTGTGGTTGGTAATCAAATTGGTTACATACTCTTTTAACATTGATGACTATATCAATCATCTTATACTAGATTTTCACTTCAGGACCTGCAATGTTTTAGATTGTTTCTGAACCCAGCCAATTGTGGACTAATTCTTGTGTTAGTCAACATCTAGCTGATCTAGGGTGTCTAACTTGCTTTCCAGTCTTGAATTAAGCTTTCAGCCCATTTTGTGAATCAAGTCTCCGAGCGCCTTAAATTTGATGAATAACCAATCACATTGTTGCCTTTCATTGATATATTTTTGTTTCTTCAGTTGATTGATCTTGTGGAAGTGGATCCCCACCTTGTAGCTTTAGTGATGTTTGATTATATTTTGAATCTAATCTGTCATATGTAGGCTGTCATTTTAGCAATGAGATTGTTTTTGGGCTAGATATATTTGGTTTCTCATCTGCATGTTATCTTTGACTTCAGGGTTGGGAGACAAGTGGTGAATGTTCCCTCTTTCATGGTGAGGGTTGACTCACAGAAGCACATTGACTTCTCTCTCACTAGTCCCTTCGGAGGAGGCCGTCCAGGTAGAGTGAAGCGAAAGAACCAGAAGGCAGCAGCAAAGAAGGCTGCCGGTGGTGATGGTGACGAGGAAGATGAAGAGTGAGCTATACCCAGTTCTTTGTAGTTTGTAGGCTTGAGATCCTTTAATAGCACCTCTAAATATGGCTCTTTCCCCCAGGAGATCCACCAATTTTCATGTTGCAATTGACTGATTTTATTCCTTTACAACTTAAAATGTTTGGAGTGCATGTTTTTGTTATATGTTAAAACTATTAGAATATGACAATATGTTTATTGTGTTCTTATGGATCCAATAGATCAGTTTTGCTAATTCCTGGCTTATTTTCTTCTGCATACCACAATGATATTGCTTGCCCCATCCCTTAACAAATCATTCCAAGTAGAAGTCATCTTGTTTAGACAAGTCTATACAATTTTGAATTTTTTGTTTATGGTGATGGATATCTTAAGCTGTTTTAATGCTAGTAAATGAAGGCTGGATGCAAATTGATCAGTGTTGTTCTGCCATGTGGGTTTGTGGTGTACTCGTGACTTGTGATTCTAGTGGTGAAATCCTATAATTAGATTAAAAAAAATGACGGCAATTGAATAATTGTGTTTGTACTAAAATCAAAGATGGTTTTTTTTTAAAACATTTGGGAAGGAAAAATAAATTACATATCAATAGCAATCTGTTCTTATCTGCATTAAGTGGCAAGATCATGTGGTTATTGGACCTATCTTGAGCTACAGTAGAGTACTAAAATGTATAGCTTTCCATGCCTTTTGCCTCTTCTCTGCCTTTTGCCTCTTCTTTGATATTGGCAATTGTCTTGATATTGGCTCCTTGCTCCACATTATTGCTTGAAAGCATGCTGTAGCTTGGGCTGTATTGCAGTTCCTGCTATGTCTCCCTTGTGCAGCAAAAAACCTGCGAAGGGTGTAAAATGCCACCAAGGCCATTGCCGCGGTACCACTTCACTTTCTGGCCTTGAGTGATCCATCCATATGTCCTGTTACTTTCGACTACTTTCTTGTTCTCGAAAGAGGCATGCATAGAATTGGATTCAGAGTATGAAATTTTGCAATGATGGAAGTTTTTTCTTCTTGCTGGTTGCAGAGGGGACTCATATGCTTTCCATCTATATGTTTCTTGATTGAAGACTTTTAAACAATGCTAAACCTTTATAACATAATCTCTATACAAAAGTTTTCATGTTTGTTTATACATTCTCATGTTCCATAGGAATTTTCAGAATTTGTTGTCATTAGGTCCCTGCCTTAAATCAACCATCTGTAATGCACTAATGCTGTTACCTGTTAGTGTTGCATAGCAACTTTTAACAGTGAACTCTCCTAATTCCAGAATTTTGTCTTTCTGGTATTGAAAATCAACATTTCCCAAAGTCGGAGGTTATGGCTTAGGATTTCAATTGATGCGTCGTCTTTGAAATTTTGGTATATGAAATCTGTGTTCCAGGCTGAAGATAGTAAGTTTCTCACTTTCCATTGTGATGCCCTCTGTAAACTAACTTCATCCTTGAGTGTAGGACATTCTCCATTGACACACTAATCTGATAAAATTTTACCTTGTCGCCTCTACTTATTTTCCTTGCCAGATTTCGCTGTAGAACCTTTTTCCCTTTGATAATACCTCTTCCCCTGAACATCTCATTGGTATATTCGTGATCAGATACTCGGAGTTGAGCATTTTTGCCACCAGAAGATTGGGATTTAATCTAATTCTGTTAGGTTGTTTAAAATCATTGAAAGCTTGTATATTTCATTATTTCGTTGTAGTCCTAAACCTCCCATGTCTTTTAGCAGCAGTGGTATCTTTTGTTTCACACCCACGGGTTCCCTACTTCCTTCTGCAAACTTGACGCCCTCTAAAACTGTATTAAGTTTGAAGACTGCAAGTATGTGAGTTTTCAACCTGACTAAAGTCGAATTGAGGAATATTAAGGCCCGACTTAAAAAATTTACATGCCATGAGAGAAATCCAGGGAGTACCCTATCCATGACGAAATTGAAGTTTGCAATCCTTCTCCTGGCTAAGTTGAATGGTAGTCCCAAGTACTTGGTAACATAATTTGTACTCAATCTTTGCATACCTTTTATATATCTCAATATTAATTTGAGATGTGTTGGGGCTGAATTTGATCCAAGAGATCTCTAGGATTATAATTTGTCCGGAAATACTGTGAAAGTTTTATGATTGTTTAAGCCAAAATTTGATCGCTACTAGACCAGATTCAATAGGACAACAACTAGATTAATAAGGATACGAATGATAATGTAGGTTCAATGAATGAGGATGAATAACCTACGAAAGATGAACAAAGGGGAAAGGGAAGAAGAGACACAAGATGATGATGCAGAAAACCCCGGGAATAGGTAAAAACTGCGGGTGGCATTGAGTCCACCAATCTACTAGTTTGAGAATTAAGTAAAGGTACAATGCAAGTTGTTTTTTGATCAAGAATGAATCTGTAATTTGGTTGCCAATTGCTAATATAATGCCTAGGGCTCGTATCTTCTGTTTTTACAATGGTTTTTCATCTTATTTATAATAGGAGAGCCTTTTGAAGTCTTGTAACAGCTTCTTTGTTGATTCCTTGAAAATCGGAGTTAGTTGCCAGGTTTAGCTCCGAGATTCATGCCACATTCTTCATGCTCTTATCCATTATCTTTTGACTTGTTCTTTGCCAATATTTAGTTGGAGTTTATGGTTCCTATATTTATGGAACTTCCCTTGACTCATTCAAACTTGGATTCTCTTAGAATATTCCTTGGAAATATCTTCATTTAACTTCCCTTGACTTCCGATAACCTAGTCGTTGACTTCGTAGCAACCTATAACCTGCAATCTAGCAACCTGCAGACATCTGAACCTGGAGTGAAAATTTAGCCATAACAATGATCACTTCTTGAAGTTCGAAAATTGAATATTATGTGACTTTGATGAAGAACATAGCGGAGTTTTTTAATCACTTCTTTAACTCCCGAAATTAAATATTCTATGACATTGATGAAAAACATAGCAAAATTTTGTAATCACTGTTGTAAGTCATGAAACTGAAATTTTATGTGACTTTATTGAAGAACATAGCGTCATCCACATATAAGAGATGCGAGATACACAAACTTCGTCATGTGATGTGGATTACCTCAATCACCCCCTACTTTTTAGCTTGTGAAAGTTACCTAGAAAGGACATCCATACAAAGAATAAAGAGACATGGGATAAGGGGTTACCTTGTCGAATTCCTTTCAAGGGATCAAATATTTTAGTAATTTCTTACATTTTAGAGATGTTTTGGTCACCATTTTCATGATCAAAATCCAATCTAGGATAACCATATTTTCTAGGACTTGGAAAATTCCAGTTTATAGGGTCATATGCCTTACTTATATCAATTCACTGCCCTAATGTTGTTCCTACCAAATTTCTTTCAATTTAGAAAATGAATCAATTCATAAGCAATGAGACAATTACTGTGTATCACTTAGTAGACAACTTGTAATAAAATTTCTTTTCTTTTAGAAAATGAATCGGTTCATAAGCAATGAAGGCAACTACTCCACATCACTTAGCAGACAACTTGCAATCAAAACTCTTTGGTACTAGGAAATGATAATGTCGAAATTAGGTTTCCAATGGATACTTATCGTTCTTTCTAAAGTCTTTTTCAATTAACTTGATTTTTTCAAAATAGGCAAATTGAAAAAGTTTCTTTCAATTAACCTATTTTGAAAGAATCAATTCACTTGAAAAAGATTACTAATTGTGCTTGAGGATATTTCTCCATGACTAGGCTAACACGACGTTTCTTTTACCTATTTTATAAACTTTATAGATTGTTTAGTAGAAGAGCAGTCTGAAGATGTTTTATAAAATATGTTCAACTTGTCTCTATACCCTTTTTCTTTGTAGTAGCGAGTGGCGATTAAAAAATTGATTATACATTTGAGATTGGTAATCGTTCAATAGCGAAACTATTCAGATCCTTCTACATTTAATAGAAGTAGGTTGAGGTTCATGCGAATTGACAAAAAATTGTTCTTCTAAGGAGTTAAAGTGGATATGCATCAACTAGGAATGTGGAACATACCTTCTTACCCCAAAAAACAAAAAGTACATTTCAGATTGATAATCGTTCAATAGAGAAATTGTTTAGATGCTTCTAAGCTAGATTATATAGAAGTAGGTTGAGATTCATGCAAACTGACAAAAGATTGTTCTTCTAAGGAGTTAAAGTCGATATGAATCAACTAGGAATGTGGAACATACCTTCTTACCCCACAAAAACAAAAAGTGGAACATACCTAGCTTGCTTTGGCACCAAATTTTTTTATACAAGCAACGAAGACTCGGGTGGACAAATACTCTTCAAAGGTAACAAGATAATCTGTGGTACATAGGTTGAGCTTCTTCATCATTGCAATGCCCTTGAGAAGCTACTCTAATTCCTCTAAATGCGCATCTAAATAAGTTTGGAAAAAAAATAATTTTCATTGTAATCGTGTGAACTTGCATTTTCTCTTTTATAAACGAAAAGATGTTAGTATCTATGGTGCGTTCTTAATGAATCTCATTCATGACTTTTGTAAGGTTAAGCCTAAAAATTACTTGATTTACTAACTATGGTTAATATATGAAATTACTTAAATATCCATATTACATCAAATTTATGATTTATAATCACTCTAATAGTGATGTTCATCCATTAAAGTGACACCATCATCAACACCATTTGTATTGCCCATAAAACAACCGCCAATGACGGCCTCCCTCCCCTAAGTCCAAGCACCAGCATCATTGTCGCTTTTAATTTGACCTCAAATTCAATCTTTACGAGATACAATGACTCCTCAAAAATATAAATAGATCATCCTTTTCGCATGCAAATTGAGACACGCAAACCGATGCAATTCTTGCCACACAAATCAATGCAATCTAGTACTTTTTTTTTTTTACATATTTTGACCTCAAATGAGATCCTTAAGAAAAATGAGCCAAAATTATTATTAGTAAATTTTTTTAACGCAAATCGAGAAATTGTTTTTTAGATAGGAAAGTAAATGAATAGGCCCCACAAACAGCTTCCTATGAAATGGTGGTAAAATCAAAAGTTTAAATTTTTTTAAAGTTGTAAATTAAAACAAAAAATTAAATAAGATAGTTAAATACAAATTAAAACCTTGTATTTTAGAAGTGGTAAATGACCAAAAATCCTATTTGAAATAAACAAAAAAAAAAAAAAAAAATTACCCTTTGTAAATGAAAACCTTGTATTTTAGAAGTGGTAAATGACCAAATTTTTTTTTCATCTATTT